GGCTGGAACAAATTGCAAGTTTTTCTTTTGTCACTATTAACTTTAAGCTAAAGCACCAGCTCGTGTTAAATTCGAATAAGCTGAAATTTTTAGAGAGTTGTTCTCTCACCGAATGGTACAAATCTGGGGCCCGTTAAAAAACAAAACGAAAAAAAATATCCCATCTAAATGTGGGCCAGTCTAATGTTTATACTTCGTTGCTACATACAATTATTGAATTTTAAATCATGTTATTTTGTCCCATTATCATTACACTGCTTCTTATCAATTGATTATTAGGCTGGAACAAATTGCAAGTTTTTCTTTTGTCACTATGCTCGCACCAGTCGAGGGGTGGGGGATACAAAATAAACCAAAAAAACATTTAAAATTCGTTTTACATTATATCTAAACCGTATATTTCAAACGCTAACATTTTTTCTTAGCCTCCGCTTTAGCCTTATACTTCTTTGAAGCCGTGATTTTTGACACTAATGCCACAAATGGTGACTTTATTATGTGTAACACTCGAGCTATCAACAAAACATTTAGCGCATAAGTTTTTGTATCCTTTCAAGGAAAAACATTGCTAATAATGTAGATGAGGACAGTATCAAAATCCAACTTAGCATAAAAGGAAAACCAAAAAAAAACTTTTTCGTATTACAAACCCAGTTTAACCTTCACGTATGGATTCAGCAAGGTCCATTCTAAAAAATACAAGCCTCTTTTTCAAAGATTTGAGCCAAAATGTAATTTGGCAGAACCGAAAAACCAAATTTCTATTTTAATTCAGCAATTCGGTAAAATCCACTCCTATTTTTCAAAGGAAGGAGCCGAAATTTAAGTAAGCTAAACAAGAAACCCATTTTTTTTTATAAAAATACGTACTTTTGAGAATTTAAACCCAGTTTTCTAAAAAATTGTGCATGCTCCAAAAAATTTACCATCACTTATTGATTCAGCAAAGTTCATTCTATAAAATTCAAGTCTATTTTCAAAGATTGGAGCCGAAATTCAACTTGGTAGAACATAAAATCAAAGTTTTTGTGAAAATATGTACTTTCGTGAATTTAAACTCGGTATTCCCAAATATTGAAGAAATTCAACCCTCACGTATGGATTCAGCAACATCTATTAAAATACAAGCCTATTTTTCGAAGAGAGAAGCTAAAATACAGCTCAGCAAAACAGAAAAATTAATTTTCTATGAAAATACCTTCTTTTGTGAATATTAACCAGGTTCGTCCTTCCGGTATTCAGCAAGTTCCATTTTATAAAATCCAAGCACAAATTTCAAAAAATTTAACCGAAATCCAAGCTGGCTTCAAAAAAAATCTACCATCACGTATGAACTCACAAAGGTCTATTCTATAACATCCAAGCCTGTTTTTCAAAGGACGGAACCAAAATCTAACGTGGCTGATCAAGAAACCCACATTTCTATAAAAATACGTACTGTGGATGTAAACCCAATTTTCTCAACAATTGTGCTTACTTAAAAAAATCTACCAACACACGAAAGTCCATTCTTTAAAATCTCAGCCTAATTTTCAAAGGATGTGAATTTCACGAGGAAGGGATCTAAGGGAGCGGAATCTACGTTAAATTTAGGTCTGTAGCTCAGACTAACATTCAATATAATTCAATCACGCAACAGAAAAGTTTGTACTCCCTAAGGAAGGTTTTGAACCACTTCAGAAAAGGTTGGACACCATTTAGAAAATTTGAGCTAAAAAAATTGTCGGTTCACTTCGGAAAACTTTCTACACTTTAACTAAGCAAGATTGTGTCCTTGCCAAATGCCAAAGCAGTTAACAAAAATTTGGAGCTCACTTAGGAAAATGTCAAACCCGCTCTGACAAGTTTGGTTTCAGTTCGGAAAAAGTTGAATCAATGCAGGAAACCTTGGATTCATTTAGGAAAAGGATTAATCAGTTAATGCGAAACTAATTATTTAAAGCTTGGATTCGGTATATGTTGAATCACTTCAGGAAAGCTTTGACAACTTAAAAAAGAATTGAATAACATAACAGAAAAGTTTAGACTCAGTTTGAAAAATATTGATGACTTATTCCAAAGTTTGAACTCACTTCAAAAAAGTTCAGACTCAGTTTTGAATCTGCTTTGAAAAGTGTCACCTCAGTTAGGAATTTCCTGAATCGTTTCTGATTTGGTCTCACTTCTAAAAATGTTGAACCAATTTTGAAAATATTGGATTTAGCTCGGAAATTGTTGAATCACTGCAGAAAAGAAGTGAATCATTAAGTATCATTGCAGAAGGTTTGTTAGTTAAGAAATGTAGATCGATTGCAAAAATCTGGTGAATACGGTGGGCTGGGCACATCGTAATAATGTCGGATAACGACCCACTGAAAATGGTTCTTTGTAGTGATCCGCCTGGGACAAGACGAAGATGTGCGTAACGAACAAGAGGGATCGATCAGATTGAAGGTGGCTTACTTAGTGAGTTGCCAAACAAGATTAGGAATGATGTTTGATGAAATCCGTTTTCAACAACTGAAACCGGCTGATCCGATTTCAAGGACCTGTCATGCCGTACTGGTCAAGTACCAATTTATGTAAAAATTCTTTAAAAGAACTAGGTGATACAACAACAACAACAACAACAACAACAACAACAACAACAACAACAACAACAACAACAACAACAACAACAACAACAACAACAACAACAACAACAACAACAACAACAACAACAACAACAACAACAACAACAACAACAACAACAACAACAACAACAACAACAACAACAACAACAACAACAACAACAACAACAACAACAACAACAACAACAACAACAACAACAACAACAACAACAACAACAACAACAACAACAACAACAACAATTTCTAATCTAGCAAATCTAGCAAAGTGAGTATTCATACCCAAATGAATTTGCGAAAAATAAATATACATTGAAAGTTTTATTTTATTTCCCTCTTGGCGATATTCCAAAATTTTGAAGGGGGGGATGACAAAAGAAAAACTTGATATTTGTTCCGGCCTTATTACTCTAATAAGGCACAGTTTGAAATCAGAACTATAATCTGGTGTTTTAATATTAGACTTGATGTTGTTTTTAAATATGCCCAAAACAAATAACATGTTTTTATATTTTCATTCGAAAGTTTACCTATCAAAGTACTGTTTTATGAACAAACGTGAAAATCGTCCAAAAGTAACATGGGACAGATATGCGTAGAACGGCAGAATGCATCATATAAAAACCACAATCGCATCACTTAGCAAGGTGATCCAAAGAAACCCTACTTTCTAACAAAATCTCCCCTCCTGTGTCTTTTGTAGGGACGCAGTGATAAACCCGGTCCCAAATCAACAAAGGTCACTCTTATATTCCTTCCTAAACTATTCAGCATGTAAACTGTGTATAAACGAATGTTAAAATACAAATTATCTTGAGGTGTCGATGTGTCTCACGCTATATGACTTCACATCACCAGTGTAGCTATACCGCAGAAACAAAAACGACTCTAGACTGAGCGCTCAGCTAAAACCTATGTTATTACCAAGAAGAAGATGATTTTACAATCGCTGTAGCTTTGTAAAATCACAAATACCTACAACTCTGAATGTAATATTTAGTAGATATGGGTCGAATAGTTAGGGGCCTCATAGTCTAGACAGTAAAGGCACGGTATTACCAACAATCAATACGAAACTAACGATTTTAAATTGGCTCACCACTTTAGTAGCCTATTGGTCCCAAGCAAACGATTAACGTACCCTATTCTAGTTGAAATTCTATTACTACACTATGTTTGTTTTGATTCGCTATGAAAGTTTGACAGATAACATCAGGGGTGTGTGGATTCATGCAGAACATGCAGGGGTGAGTGAAATAGCTTGGGACTGCTTGGGACCGTTGTTCTGGTACTGAGTGAGCCAAAAATAATAATGATTTTCTTCGGGACCCAGTGGTCTTAGAGTTACCTCTATGGTATTACCATAGAGGTAACTCTAAGACTAGTAGGTCCCGAAGGAACGTGCTCAAATTTTTGGCTCAGCTCTGGACTATCTTCCATTCACTCCTCGAAACATAGGAAAATCCACTAACCCCCAATTTTATCTGTCAAACTTTCATAGCGAATCAAAACAAACATAGTGCAGTAATAGGATTTCGAGTAGAAGTGGGTACGTTAATCGATTTGGCTGGGACCAATAGGCTAGTCAAGCAGTGAGCCAATTTAAATTCGTTAGTTTCCACCGGTTGGTATAACCAAGCTGGAGGCGGCGGGTTCGAATCCCGGTCCGGTCGAGGGAATCTTTTGGGTTGAAAATTTTCTCGACTTCCCTGGGCATATAGTATTATTGTACTTGCCACACAATATACAAATTCATGCATTGGTATTGTCATCGAAAGCTCTCAATTTTAACAACTGTGGAAGTGTGCATTTCGAACACTAAGTTGAGAGCACGCAATAAGCTAGTATGCGATAAGCAATAAGCTTGATATGCGAAAAAGAAGAAGAAGAAGGTTGGAATAGTTTCAAAACAAGAAGTGAACAAAACAATTCCTTCTCTATCGCACTATGCGGAAACCCAACGGAAACTCGTTTCACCGGTTCTGGTATATTGCTATCGTAACAATATAACATACGTCACCCCAACGAGTTGGAGATCGAAGCCGCCGAGAGTCTACAGAAAACTTGGTATCTGCTAATCAAAGCACACATTGATGACACTCAGCAACAAACAGTATAGTATGACTGCTCTGGAATCCGGTTTAGCATATACTCAACACACCTTCGACTGTCGTCTACCTATACCTCTGTTTGGTTTGTTGACAAAGCGTGGCGCTGAGGTCGATCCAACAATATTGAACCTTCTTGCTTCGAAGAATTCCCACCACAACGGAACTGAATGATGATGAGCAACAGCGGAACTTTGAAACTCTGCTTCGTAGTGATCGTTGGTAGTACCATCGTATCAGTTTGGTTCGCGAATTCAACAAGATACGAAACTCAACTCCCCGGGGGTGAGCCTACACCAGCCGAAAACTGGATTGTCTCGTGAATGGATTCTGGATTTGCACGGAAAACACACATTTTAATCGCATTAATAGAGGTGGGTTTACGGAATAGGGGCTCGTGTAATTGATAGATCAAGTTGATTGAGTATATCTGTGTGATGAAAGTAAATTGACGGTGACGATTAAGAAAACGTCGGTGCCAGCATGTGTCGGTAGAAGAGGAGATTGTTTTGATTGGAGCCGGTTGTGTCGGTGTCGTTATTCTGTTTGTATAAATTGTGTGGAGATTATATTGTATTCGATCAAGTTCAATGTTTTGGTATTGCGGTTTCTAGTTTTATAATAAACAGCGGAGAGTGACTGTTGTGGTAGGCAGAAAAATGGGTGCACTGAATCATATGTGGTTAGTCTTACGAAATTCATTCACAGACTACTGAGATGCTGTGGATAATTCGCATATAAAACAATAGTAGCAATTTGCAATTATAGTGTCTGTTTTACCTTCACACGCACTGACTATCACTTCTACTCGGTGTAGATGGATTGCGTTTGTTTTGAAACTCTTCGCTGACAACGTACGAATGAAATGAACAAATAAGTTCATTATGCATCGACGAATACCTGTTCAGCAACGCTTGAGTTTCCAACCCAAAATTGTCAAAATCGGAAACGATCCTCAAGAAAAAATCAAATTAATTTTGGCATAAGTGATTATTTTGAATATTATCGATCCCAGGGCCTAACACTTCGATATTATCAGCAATTTTACAAAAGGCAATTATCTTCCATCGATATGAGCGTGAAAAGCAACGTTATATTGGTGTAAAATGAAAATAAGCATTTAGCATTTGAAACTAAAAATCATTCCCACCAACATGAGTACGTTTGATTGAGCTAAATTTCGCGTTTATTAGACTCAATTTTATGTCAAAATGGACGCTCGCATATGTCGGTCTCAGAGCACCTACATTTACAGTGTGTCGAACTTGAGAAAGTTATCATGTTAAAATTCAAATTCGTGCAGGTAGTTGGTTTATATTTCATGGTTGCCCTCATTTTCAGCTTATTTGAGTGTAAAAACCCGAATTTATCCACCTATGGTGTGATCAGACCCTTCTTACTTATTCAAGTTTATTTATTTTATTGTCATTATCAGTGACCAAGCCCCCCACCCCCGTGTCATCCAGTGACGCTACGCCACTGCCTGGGGGTACCCGGAATATATCCGGGTGTAGTCTATTTGGTGAGGCTACCAATCACCTTATCATCGTATTTTAATGTGATTTAATGGGTTTTAATTCAATTCATATTCAAGCAACTTCCCCGGGGTACCCGGAACATGTCCAAGTGTGTCCAATGTGGTCTGGAACACTTAACACGACTTGCATTGATCTTATTTATGAATTCTGTAGTAATTTGATGTGTCGCATGATGGTTTTGATACGTTTTCCGTTAAATCCAGCGTGAAGGCCCATATTCACCGGATCTTATTCCGGCCATATCTCCGGAACCGGTTCACCGATTCCAAAACCGTTCAATAGCGTTCCAAGACCTATCATTTGGCGCCGAGTTTGTCCAAATCGGTTGAGCGGTTGCTGAGAAACGTGAGCGCATTCATTTCGTTACATACACACACACACATACACACACACACACACACACACACACACACACACACACACACACACACACACACACACACACACACACACACACACACACACACACACAGACATGTTCCGATCTCGTCGAGCTGAGTCGAATGGTATATGTCGGTTTTTCAAGTGATATCTATACCCTTCTTTGTAAGAAGGGTAAAAATAATATTTTTGTCAGCACTGGTGCTTGCCAAATCTCTGCAGACATGACAGATATAGTAGGCTAAAAGCTAGCTAAAACGGGATCACAGAAACAATCGTATACACACTTAGAAAAATTCATGCAAATTTAGGTGCTCTGAGAGTGACATATACGAGCGTCAATTTTGACATAAATTTGAGTCATAACAGACGCGATATATAGCTTAATCCAACGTAATTTTCGTAGAGCAACGAACTTTTCAGTCTCGGAGCACTTAGTATTATATGACATGTTTGTTTACGTTCCATGTTTCATGTCAAATATGGTTTCCATCTCGTGAAAAAATAGTTATTTCTAAGTGTGTAGATAGTAATATACGGAAATATTTAGTCTCACTTTTTTTCATAGTTCACAAGGTGTACACATTTGAGAGAACGAAATTTGAACTATTTCGTGGATGTCCCCAAGCTGTATCAGTTCAATCCTAATCTTTTCTGAGAACAAACCATCAGAGTGATGTCACCGAAACATGTTCAAATGGTCGTAATTATGGTCGTCTTGTCTCCCAACTTTGAATTATTAATGGACCGAATCTCAGAAGCAACAAAGAGATGTAAATAGCCATTTAACAGCATTTTGGCTTTCACTCTGATTTATTTTGATTTTATAACGGCATAAGCAATCGTTTTAGTTTAAATGCAGGCAATACACTTAGAAAAATTAATGTAAATTGAGGTGCTCAGAGACTGATATATACGAGCGTCAATTTTGACATAAAATTAAGTCATATTGGACGCCAAATTCAGTTCAATCAACATACTTTTTGTCGAGTACCAGACTTTTCAGTCTCGGAGGATTCTATGACATTCCCCAGAAAAGCATTCCCCAGAAAAGATGATGAAATTAGTAATTTATCACTTTTTTTTTTGGTCATTTGATATTATATATCAGTTTTATACTACAGAACTACCGATTACAAACTTATAACATAATTCCACACGTTATTATCGCAAATAGTCATTACCACGAATCCCTTGCGAAAAGCTATTGATTATATATTTTCCTTATATATGAATAGAAAGGAAAATTTCCTACTTTTTCGTATATCCAAGGAATTAATTATTTCCTTTTGTTATATTTTCGTAGAAGGGAATATTCTCTTCTTTGTCAAATATTTAACGAATTAATGATGTTCTCTTCTATATATTCAAAGAAAGGAATATTCCCTTCTTTATCGTATATCCAAAGAATTAATTATTTCCTTTTCTTATATTTTCAAAGAAGGGAAAACCCCTTGATCAATTAAGGTCTCCTAAAACCCCTTGACCCATTAAGAAGTTTTTCTCTTCTATTTATATACGAGAAAGAAGATTCTAGGAGTGACTATGATAAACAAAAATAGTCAATCTAATACATGGCATACTTTTCTGGGGAATGGTACATTCTGGGGAATGGTGCATTCTGGGGAATTAGATTATGGGGAATGGTTTTCTGGGGAATGTTGTAGAATCGTCTCGGAGTACTTTATTTTACGTGACATGTTTGTTTACGTCTTATCCTATATGTATTAGGTATTTCGAAGTGTGTAGTGTAAAATATTCATGATCAGTACTTCAGCTTTATGCTGTTTTAAAACCCTTTAAAAGACTGATGATAAAGTCAAAAGGTATCTGGTTTTAAGAATAACTTGTATGCAGCACTCTATCCCTTAATAAACTTGTTCTGTAAATCAATAATTGGCATTTTTTTTTTGATGTCACGACAAAATACTCCATAGAGTTGTTTTATCGTTATAAAAGCAATTATAAAACCATTCGGTTTCAAACGGGAACAAAAAGCATTTATGGTTGCATTTTTGTGTCAATAGAGTGTCTCACAAACCAACCCCCCCCCCCCCACCCTCAATGTCTACAAACTAAACTAAACATATGGAGATTTGAAATAAAAAATACGCAGAATCACGAGGAAACTCCGACTGAACCAGTCAAAAACAACAGAGCAGCCGGCTGAGAAGAGTGAAGTGAATGCTGAACCGCATGCCCTAGAAAACCTTGAGGGACGTTTAAAACTCATGAGAATGCAAAAAAATATTGGCAATGGCGTTTGCGTCACGTTTGCTAAATAAAAACAGTCCATCCTTCCGTTAAATTTTGATTCGCTGATGATCCGAATCACATGCATCAGTGTCAAACTGGGACTGCGGAAAACTGCCGACATGAAACTACAGGAGCTGTCAGTCCGCTGGAAATTGGCTGCCTACCGAACCGTATAAGCGATTTCATCCCACTCTAAAATTTAGATTTAATATCAATTAAATATTTTGAAAGGTCGAAGTTTTTTAAAGTATTCCCAATCTTGATTTATTTTCATCGTAGTGATCAGTTGCTAGTGAAGTTGTTTATTAATCGAATTGTAAAATCAACCGGTCTATGATTATTCGTCGCGTATATCATCGAATTATTACAGTATTACATGCCAAGTGAAATTCGAGAACGTAATTTCATTTGAATAGCTTGTTTAACCAGGTCTTAAACAATCGTCACGTCGGTCATAGCTTGTTATGATTGCCTGAACCATGCGTAAAGAGAAAATCGAAACATTTAACGTCGCGTGAAAATGGATCTGAATGAAGGCCTCTTTCGTAGCTTTTAGTTCACGGATTTCAAAGATCGTCGGTTGCAGTGGCTTGCTTACTGAGCAGAAAAACGCGGTCCCAGGTCCTTTCATATTAAAAATGTATGGTAAGATCGCTTTTTTATCGTGTATTTTGTAAAACTTTTCGTTATCGTCGGTGCCGTGTTGAGTAATGCTATAATGTGATATGAGGGGCTCGGTGGCCTTAGCACAACCGGTTTTGCTTACTGAGCAGAGCATCATGAGTCTAATCTCAAGCCCATCCATATTCAAGATTCGTCAATCGTTTTATTTTTTAACATGACTACATGGTAATAACAGCAACTCGATGATTAAAAAGGAGCTCGTCTGCCTAGTGGCAAACGTTTTTGCTTACTGAGCAGAAGACCGTGGGTTCAATCCCAAGCTCTTTCGCGTTATATGATGGTTAGGACATCAATTTAGCTTATCGTTTACCAAAACGAACCCTGCTGCAAACCCAACCCTATTATTCAATATCCCAGTGATTCCTCGTGGAAGTGCAGAGGTGTTCTCGGCTTCCATCAAAGCGAGTGTCACGTCAACACATTCCTACCCCTTCCTTTCTTGAACTGTGTTCGGGCGCAGCCGGCGCTGGTATTGCCTAGTTTGAGATCACCAGTTTTTACACATTGAGGATGAT